CCCGAGGCCTGCGCGCTCCCATCCCAGGGACCGTGGGGGGCCCCCCCAATCCTTTCCACGCTTTCGTCGCTTTCGTGCGTTTCGACCGAAAAAGAAGAGCGCAGACGTCGAAGTGATTCGTGGCTGCGCGCGGCAAAAATCGCTCTATTAGCGGTTTCCCTCGCCACGAGATTCCGGTTTTCTCGATTCGGTGTGGTCAGTACAGAAGCGACCCGTATGTTCGATGTTGGGACCACCTGTCGCCGTAATCGCGGCGTTATCTTTTTCACTTTGCCAGCTCTTAAGACCGCGTACCTCGCATACCTCGCGTGGGTGCCGAGACACTCGAAACGAAGCGAAATAATTGCGGTCCTTTGATTTTGCCAGATCCTTGTCCGTAAATAATGCATTAACATGATACGTTAGAATGATAACGTTATATGATTGTTATCATTTCATAAATGGATAAAGACGTTAGGTATCGAACATGATTGCAGCTATGTAAGACTTCGGAGAGAACAGTTTTGCGAGCAAATTTAAAAATTTAACCAGATACAAATTTTAAAAATAATTTTGTCGAACCTTCAAAATTATTATGTACAACATTATATTCAAATTCATTGAACATCAAAAACTTTTGTATTATTATTATTATACTTAAGCATCTTACATGATAATTTTGATAGTCCGAAATTATTTTCAAATCTTTATCCGATTACTAAATTTATTAGCAAAAATGTTATCTCTATGTGGTTTATGATGAGTTCGTGTCTAATTATATTTTTTAAGTAAATTATTAAGTAATTAAAAAAAATAATAAAATAAGAAGTTAAGCTGATTTACAGTATTTAGCATAAAAATGTTCATAAAGTTTGTTCATAAACTTTATGCCAACATAAACAATGAATCGATTTCTTTATATTGATACATTTTTTGTGAATTTCAATATATTCCAGCCTCTTTAAAGGCTGCGTAAATTACTATTCGATCTTAAAGACATGAATAGCAAGAAGCAGAATATTTCTAAAATTCATAAAAAATATAATTAGGTACGAGATATCGCTAAATGATCGGGAAGTCTAACTTAGTTATCGTGCTACGTGATTGGTATCTTCTCGTTATCGCTCTAGAAATATATGCAAGAATTGCAGTGTAAATTATGACGAGCTGTTCATTTTACGTTGCTACCGAGATGCAATTAACTTGGATCGCCTATACATTCGCGCGATCCTCGACCCACGATCGCGATCCGCGTGCCGGCGGGGCTCGATCATGCTCTCGCGGCGTCTCATACCGCCCAACTTAATCCCCCGTTGACTTATAGAGCCCGCCTATGTGAAGAACAAATGAATAAATTAGGGCGGGGCTGTTTGGTAGCCGACGCGCGCGTACGGCCCTGAAGATTTATAGATACCCAATACCAGTTCTCTCGCCGCCGCCGGATACATGGGGTTCCCCTCGTCGCCCTCTGCCCTCCTCGATGCGTTAAGTCCTTGCTCTTGTTGGGTGCAAAACCGCGAAGGGATAGATCCTGAGAAAAGAACGATACGTGATATACCTGAAGGGACACTCGTTGCATGAGAGATATCCACATTTTTATGATCTTCATATAGAGGAGATCATATCGGTATTACGAAATCCCCGCGGGAACACGCAGGATTAGAAGGGATTCCTCGAGGAGAACTGTGTAGATAGGAACTAATTTGGAGACAAATTGGAGTCGAAATAATCGGGATCCTCTTCATTATTTCAATCTTCCAAAAGATCGACAGTCAGAGACGGCGGATCGTAGAGCGATCGTTCGTGATCGGTATGAACTAGCTCCTAGGCGTGCCCTTTGCGCGATCACCATAACCAATAATATCCCCCCAAAAACATCGCGTCATGCGACGATGACTATGCAGACGCGAAGACTAATCCCTCCATGAGCTTACCATATTTTTCCATACAATAACGCCGTGGTCGATCGGTCGTTGATGCATTCTTCTACTTCTTCTGCCTCTTCTGCCTTCTATGCTCTTCCTCTTGCTTCTCCCCGTTCCTTTTTCTCCTTCCCTTCTTTTTTCTTATCTTCTTTTCTATATGTCTGTACTTCTTGCTGATTCTTTTCCTTTTCCTCCGCTTCGTTCTCCCTTCTTACCTTTCTATCTTCTTTTCTTCTTTTGCACTCCCGTGTATGCGGGGTATGATCTTCGCTGAATTTCGCGTTTTATTTTTCCGCGCCGCACTGTCGTTGACTCTATAATTATTTCTCCGCAGTTTTCTTCGATCTTTTTTCCCCGAACCTTTTCTATCGCCAAAATCTCTACTAGTCTTCATTCTCGTCGGCATAAATTCAAAGAGACCGAAACCATTTGTATAGGGATCGGAAGCCGCGCGACTGAGACATCGAAATAATCTCGACGTAATCTACTCCTCGAATCGTGATACCGATCCTCAAACCGAGAAGGTTGCCATGCCTAGTCGGCAGGACATTGAGTGGCCGAGTAGTATGTTAATGAGGACAGGACTGCCGGGTCCTCGCGCTCTCGGAGGTCCCGGGTGAACCTGCCGTCAACGGGATAAAAATAGTTTTTTTGCCTGTGCCCGCGCCGAGTGCGATGCGCGCCGCGAGAACCGTATTTATTAGCCGTGCGTCCATTCGTAGCCCCTCCCGTCCAAAAGGAGAGACTCACGCGAATCGATGAGTGATGAATGACGGTAAACGGGTGATAAATGGACGGTACATCGGTACACCGGTCCGGTCGAGTCGACTCCCATTGTCATTGATTACGCGCGTCGACTTTTTTAACGCGCTCGCGCGCGCCTCGCGAAAGTTAACGGCGGCGTGTCATCACAGCAGAGATCCCTGATCGTTTGCGTTTTGCAGAACATTCGGCGCGAAATGCGCGAAATGCGGGCGAAGCGTGGGCGCCGGGGACTGGGTGAGGAGGGCTAAGGACAGGGTATACCATTTAGCCTGCTTCGCGTGCGACGCCTGTTCCCGTCAGCTCTCCACCGGCGAGCAGTTTGCGCTTTTGGACACCCGGTTGCTCTGCAAGACTCATTATCTGGACGTGGTCGAGGGTAACAACACTTCCTCGTCGGAGGACTGCGACTCCGAGCACGGCGGCAAGGGCAGCAAGACAAAGCGCGTGAGAACGACCTTCACCGAGGAACAGCTCGCGGTCCTGCAGGCTAACTTCCAAATGGACAGCAATCCCGACGGCCAGGATCTCGAGAGGATAGCCCAGGTGACCGGACTCAGCAAACGAGTTACCCAGGTTTGGTTCCAAAATTCCAGGGCGAGGCAGAAGAAGCACAGCGGCAAGATCAAGACTCAGAGTAAGTATTCTTCGTAGCACAGTCGCGGGAAATCCCTCGGGATTCGAAACGTCTGTTTCCGTGTGTTTGCAGTGCATCATTCACCACCGATACCGCATCACCCGGTTGACCTGTATCCTAGTGGAATAAACGTGGTCGGCGCTTACCTCGGCAATTATCAGGCCAGTAACGCCGGCAGCGAGAGTCCAGGTAGCCCGTTGACGCCTCTCACACCCTTGACACCGCTCACGCCAACGACGCCGAATCACTTGCAGGCTCAATTTTGCCATCCAGCGGGATAATCCCGATGCGAATCTACCCGCGTCACCGTTGATATTAATTATGTATAAAAAAAGTCTTGAGATGAACTGATTTGTATATACTTTTCGAAGAGGTGTAAATTAAGAGTGTGTTTATCGTTGACTTTATCTAATATATTAAATATACAAAGTTTTTCGTATTTAAAATTAGATTAAGATTATTTATTCGGAATTTGTAGTAATTTACTGTGTATTCATCATGGCGAATGAATCTCTTAAGCGACATAAGAAGAGAGAAAAAACGCGGAAACAAATTCACGTTTGTCACGTTTTTCTTTCAAGTCTTCGATGAAGACATTCTTCCAAATGTTTTCTTCGAAGATCGAAGTTGATAACACGATAATGCGGAGTTGTATATAGAAAATTGTAGTTTTTGTACATATGCGAAAGGACTACCTAAAGCAGTATAGATATAGGATAATAATCGAAGAATGTATATGAAAATTTGATATCGCGTAGTCATTGCTGCAATATTATAAACTATACTGTTATCAATAAAACGCCTTTTATTGTTGCTCATCGATGCTTAATATCTCTTCATCACTTCTTTAGCTATATATATAAATAATCGGAGAGAATATCGGTGCCGAAGATATTCAGAGTCGAAGGAAGATGATCGTGGATGATGGTGAAGAAACAAAGACCGTCCTTTTGTTCAACGTGTGCAATTGTATATATTTATATATGTTTAGTTTACAATATTTACATCACAGGACATCCATATTGAATGAAATTCTTTTACATGACTATCATGATTACTACGAAAGATACTTTCATTTCACAAGCATTGCTACGGGACACGAGCGAGATTTCGTCGACGACGCGAAATTACGTCTCCGATGACGTCTTCAGGACGCGTATCCGTCTCTCTCTTTCATCCCTACATTCGCTTTGAAGGCTTCGTTAGAACGGTTCCCCTCCTGATTGCATCAGGCGCCAAGAAGAAAAATGAGTGGTCGAGTACAAAATCATCGGACACACTCGAGAAAGAGGTAAGCAGGCAGATCGATCCAAAATTAGTCAAGCATAGAATTACACTCGCACGCACATACGCGCAACGACACACACACACACACACACACACATGTATACATATAGACACATTCATTGCTGTATTCGCGCATTTTACTCGCGAGATATGCGAGCGTAGTTCGAAATCTCGTCATCGAAGAGTAATGGCGCGAATTGTAATTTTATCTTTCTTGAAGACAAATAAAACAATCGTGCATTGAGCGGTGCTTCCTCGAGGCGCGGTGTCTGTCTCTTCTCTCTCTCTCTCTCTCTCTCTTTCTCTCTCTATCTTCGACGCTTTTTAAAGCAATGCCGTGTATTTACAATATAATCGAGACTGCGGCCGGTTAAACCTCGTTCGGCATAGACAGCAGCATCGAGTCTTGCGAGAGCTCGTCCATCGACTGTTCCGATCCTGAGAACAGAGTTAATGGAATCGCGATTACAAGTGTAACAGTGATCTTCCCTAATTAATCGCGTTTTCCCGATTTGGAATTCTCGATCGTGGTGACAGTCTTTCGCGCGAAGCTACCCGACACTACGAGACGTTGCGAACAATCTCTTACCGTGATTGTGATAAATGGAGCCCGTCGGGCTTTTGCACGTGGCCGGGCTAAGCTGCGGTTGCTGCTGCTGCTGATGCTGTTGCTGATGTTGAAACGAATACGTGAGATGCAGGTTGATATGGCGACCGAAATCGTTGGGCGACGCGGTGGAGTTCGGTGACGACTGGTGCACTGCAAAGATTCATTTCTTCGAGATCTCTCATGACAATTACGATTCTTAATTGGATGTAGCTGCAACGGTACTTTGAGGAAATGTTGAGGCGCGATGTCTCGCTTACCGTGTTGTCCTTTCAACTTGCCCGTGTGAAGATGCTTCTTCTGCCGCGCCCTCGAATTTTGGAACCACACCTGCGTCACCCTCTTGCTGAGCCCGGTCACATGTGCTATCCTTTCGAGATCCTGCCCGTCGGGATTGCTGTCTAATTGAAAATTCGCCTGGAGAACGGAAAGCTGCTCCTCGGTAAAAGTGGTCCTCACTCTCTTCGCCTTGTTACCACCCTTGTGACCACTCTCAGAGTCACCGCCTTCTGCGAAAGTACCAATTAGCCGTACCTACCTCTTCCTCACCGTTACGCGATCCATCTCGATCGTCAAGCTTTATTCAATCAAGAATCGCAAACAATATACTTTTATCCATCAGGAATTAATTTACATCGTTATTACAACAATTATTTAAAGAAGCGACATAATGTTTAAAAAAAGTTATTTGTAATGTAAAAATTGTATATTCTATATTTTCGAAATCTCATGTACGCATTTCCAAAATATTTATTTTACGTTGATGTGTACAATAGCAGGTCCATACGATATTCTCACCATCGGAGGAGGTGTTGTTGCCCTCGACGACGTCGAGGTAGTGCGCCTTGCAGAGTAATCGGGCATCCAGGAGGGCAAACTGCTCGCCGGTCGACAGCTGACGCGAGCAAGCGTCGCATGCGAAGCAGGCCAGATGATAAACCCTTTCCCTGGCCCTTCTCACCCAATCCCCGGCGCCCACGCTGCGCCCGCATTTCGCGCATTTCGCGCCGAAAGCTCTGTAAAACGCGAGAGAAGTGGAACTCTCACTCGTGTTAACTGCCGTAAACCCGCTGCGGGCGGTTAAATCATTTGTAAGCGTAAGTATGTATCGTGGCGTTTTGGATTTTATTTTGCGATGTACGTTATAACGACAGCCAATATAGCCGACCCGCTCGACACACTCGATCGAACGGGTACGCGGGGTGTAATGATAACCGCTCGAATATATCTCGGCGGACGGCCGAAGGAGAGGAAGAAAAGCGAAGGCCGGCGCGAAGATAGCCCGAGAGAGGAGGAAGGGGGAAGAGAACTTAGAGAAGAGATATTCGTGTCGGAGGAGCGAGTGGTCTCCATCGGCGCGTGTTTCGCGGCCGTTTATTTCTTCGGCTCTCCTGTCCTTCCTCCTTCCTCCCGAAGCGAGCTTCGGTGGAAGGATCTCGCGAAGAGAACGCGCGACGCGAGGTAGATATTCTTCCCGAGGTGCACCTTCGCGCCTTCGCTCCGGTCAATACCCGCGCGCACCGGCGGATAATCCGATGGACTCTTGCGTTTTAATTAACCCCGGTTGTGCGCGCGCGAGAAAGCGACCGCAGAATTGTACAATAGTCCTGGCGCATTAATTAGCCGGAATTATACAGGTTGCGGCCGTACACTGTCGAGAGCCTCTCGCGGAGCCTCTCGGCCGGCGCCCGCCGCGACCTCTAATAAAGTGTATCGCATGCTCGCATGTAAATTCACCACGGATCGGATTCTAATAATACGCGGTAAATGCACGCGTTCGTGCGAGGGGCTCCGCTGCCCCCGGACGCCGTAAACGGTAGCCGTGTACCACGACCGCAGGAGCAAGTACGAGTGGATGAATGGCTTGGACGGGAGGGAAGGGGGGAAGGAGGGAATGTGGATCGCGCCTACGGTAGGATGCGACCGTGAGGATGTGCGAGAAACAGAACGAAGGAGGACGCTTGTTCCTTCCCCGGCCGTGGTACAGTCGTCCCGTGTCGCCGGGAGTGTCGCGGCCGATAATTAAACAACGACCAGACGGCCCATTAGCCCATTATCATATTCATGAACACGGAAAGTGCATCCGATCCGATACCTCGCCCGCGCCCCGCCCCGCCCCGCGCCGCGCTCCAATGCGGATTGTGTTTGCGAATGTGCCTGCGGCGTATGCCTGTCGGCGCGCTTCGAATATCTTATGGGTTGCCACGCGACTATCCCGGTGGTCATTTCCACCCCCCCCTCCCCCTTCCTCCTCCTCCACCGCGCCGCGGATATCGAAAATCTCAGGGCCCCGGATCGCGGGGGGGGAAACTAACTTCCGCACCGGAGAAATAGCTTTATCCACTTTACGCTTATCGGAAATGGCGCCTGCGTACCCTGTACCTTCCATCGCGATACCCTCGAAATCCTATACACCTCTTTGAGGTACAAGTAGAGAACAAAGGGAAGTAGCGCGATGTAGATTCTATCGCACGACGTCAGGCGAGATTAAACTTCTCCGATCCGTCGATACGCACGCCTTAATCCCCATTGTCCTTTAAGAGAGGCAGTTAATTTCTTGTCCTGGCGCTAAAGGCGATCCCCATACGTCACGCCCACGTCGGAAGCTAGAGAAGGATTTGAATTTCGAGCGACTCTCTCGTCCGCGATTATGACACGTCGGCTCTCGGAGGGGAGAGGGGGCGGGAGGGGGAAGTCACAAAGAGAGTTACAACGTCGATGCAAGACAAGAGAGAGAGAGAGAGAGAGAGAGACGCACGGGGGAGATCTTAAGTGAAATCTTGCGCGATACTTTACTTTGTGGGTCCCGCTTGCTTTTTTTTTCTTTCTCTTTTCTTGACGTTTCGTTCATTATCACGAGAGGAGACAGGACGGTTCCGGTTCTCTCGGAGATGGTTGTCGGCGGCGGTTGTCGACGGGTCTGCGGGGTCCACAGGTCGCGCCGGGATCCTGCCGACGACCGGGTCATCGAATGGCAGCGTTACCAGGCAGAAAGCACGAGTCAAAAAAATTACGCGGCAGATTCCTTCGGACCTCCCGCACACTGCTGGATCCGGGGCCCGCCCGAGTTAGCCAGCGTTAAAAAGTTTAATCTCACGCGGTGCCCGTTCTCGCGGGTAATTAACGAGCAACATCTCATTCAATTCTCGCAAACAAGAACGAAAATTTCCTTTCATCTCGATAAAAGAATTTCGATTTGTACCTCCGCTCGCGGCCCGCAGGGGTACCCTTGTCGAAGACGCGCGATAACGTGTGTACGAATTTAATGCGAAATCAAACCTCGGATGTTCGCCGTCCCCGCGCAGATCGCAGCGCGCCAGCGATCGGATATCACGACGTCTCGTGTTGGGCTCGGTTGGTGCAAGAGACCCAGGTGACTGAAGTAACTGATTGACAGTTGGATAAACACATTGGGCAGGCTGCGCCCGGAGCCTTCCGTACAATCGACGAGTCACCGCGGGTTCCGTCGACTTTGATCTCCACGACCGTACGTCTTACATCGCTATCGATGCGCATCGCGCAGCAATAAAAATATTCCACTTATTCATTCAACGACACGAACAAAAAGAAGCGGCTATTTTCTCTCTCCTTTCTCTCTCTCTCCATCTCCCTCTCTTTCTCTATACCTCTTCCTATTCCGACTACACATACACACTCTCTCTCTCTCTCTCTCTCTCTCTCTCTCTCTCTTTCTCTATTGACATGTATAACTCATTGAACCGATTTAATTGTCCAATCGAATCATTCAACTAAAAAAATAACGTGAATATTATTTCAGGTGAAAGTGGCAATCGATGGTCGACTTACAGGGCGTAGTCGTGCCTGCAGTAGAGCCGCATGCCTCTCAGGAAGCAAGAGTGCTGATCGTGCAACGGCCTGGCACAGGCGCAACACCTCAGGCACCTGGAGTGCCACGTACGTCCGCCCACACAGAGGACGGTCCGCTCGCGTACCCGTTCGCCGCATCCACCGCACTCCATTACGCTCGGCGACGTTTCCGGGCCGACGACCAGGCCGCTGGTGCCCTCGGGACAGGCGAGGTTGGGACCACCGACGCCACCGTCGCACGCACCGTCGCCGCTCGTGTCCTCGACTTCCGTCTGTTTATATATATATATATATATACAACAAAACAGCAAAATCCAGATTTTCGTAAACACATTTTCGATGAAGCTGATAGAGCTTCGGACATTCCGAGTCTCACGAGAACGTCGAAAACACATTAACATGTTAATTATCAAGGTGGTTATTTGTGACCAACACTTGACTTTTCACGTTCTGGTGAATTTTGAAAAATACTTATAAAACTAAATACCGTGTCTCTGATATAAAATTCTAAATAGCTAAATAAAAAGTGCATTGTTGTGATATTTTATGAGAATTAGTCTCAATTATGAGAATTATTTAATCATTACATAACATTTTATTGTTGTATCCTTAAGGTAATAAAAATTCATTCTTGTCACATCTTGCTTGATAAGGCAAATTTTATAGGGCAGAAAATATGTTAACATATCATGCATGCGTATATAATATAAATAAATTTAGAAATAAATTAGAATCAAGAATACTTTTTTTTTTTATTTGTTCTTCGTATTTAATTTTTTTATATGGAAAAGTATTGAAATGTTCTCTTTGGAATTAAAGGGGGATTCTGGTCTAGAAGCTTGATTTTTAGGCTATCTTTATAAATTTTTTCTGAAAAATTCGTCTATTCAAATCAGGATTTCTGTTACATATTAGTACACATTTCAAGTTTCTTTCAGAATTTTTTTATTGTAATATTCTAAGAAATAAGCCCTGTATAATAGTTTTTGTGAGATCGTGAAAAAATAAGGCACTGCACGGTGCCCATGATTGCGGCTGTTCTGCTCATCTGAAACAAAAAAACCAAAGAGATTCTTAAAGCATATCGCCTGGCTATCATTTGACCCGTAATAAAAGAAAAATATTATAATAGAAAGAAATAAAA